GTTGTTCTTCGTTTTGAGTTAAGTTAGCATTTGTTGTAGTTGCTGTACTCTTCTCCATTTGTTGCTGTCATGCTTCCATGTTGCTGCAGTTTTTTTTTCTTTTTTTTCTTCTTAGTGGCATATTGTTTGTTTAGTACTTATTGCTTTCAATACGTCTGCAGTTCGGATTTGTTTCACCCCACCACATGTATGGTATTCAAGGTTTGAGTAAACAAATTATGTTTGTATACATTTCTTCGCATATATACATACATGCATATATGCATGGCAACACATCCCAGCGGCACCATTATGCCAGCGCTGAAAAAGTAAGCGAGGAGGTAATAGCTCTTCGTTTTTATTTTTCTTTGTTTTCGACATTTGTGTTTGACATAGGCAATTTCGGGGTTGAAATTATAAAAGAATGAAGAAGAAAAGCATATGAGTTAAGAATTTCTTGTTTTGCCTACATTGTATACATTTAGTCTGCTTTTGATTTTAGTGAAGTGCGAACAGTGAACAATTTTAATTTTTAAAATCAAATAAAAAACAAAAATATAAATAAAATATAATTTGTAATTTCACATAAACTCACTGTAAGTATATGCAAAATTAAGTAAATATATTTAAAATGATAATTGTAATTTTTGTTTTGTATTATGTAGAAGCTACTGCGTCAAGAACGATTAATTGACCAATGTGCTGCGAATGCAGTCATTCTAAAGCAAGAGGTAATCAGCTGTAGTCATGTAGTCAGCTGTTTCAATTGGAAAATTTTACAATTCAAACTGAGGAGGATTTAATTCAATTTAATGAAGAAATCACTGCCGTTGAAGTAGTTGTAAGTTAAATTATATTTGTTTTTTACTTTCAATGTCAACTTATTAATATATTCACATGTAACAATTTTACTAATTCATACATTTCTTTTCATCTATTACGTTATTTATAGACTGCATCAATGAGACGCGTTATTAAAAAACAATCAATTACGCGAAAAATTTCCTGGAATTTTGGAGAATGGTACCCAAGGCAAGAAGTTCTTAAGAGCATTAGAGAATGTGACAGCAGCACTTTTTGGTATGGTATATTGTACATAATTAACTTTAGCGTATACAATAACATACTTTTGTATTTACAGATGCTTTAAGTACAGATGGTAAGCCGGAACAAGTGATCGAGTCGAGTCTGGAAATCTCTTCAAGGTGTTAGTAACAATTTCCAGAAAAATATTCATCTATATAAGTATGTTACATTTTTTTATGTAAATATTAATATTTTAATTGTATAAAACATAAATATAAAATATAATTTATTCAAAAAAATTTATAGTATTTTATTTAAAAATCAATAGCATAGGTAAAATTGAAAATTTAAGCGAACATATCAGCGCTGATATGTTGCATTACAAATTCGAAAAGGTAAGCTAACATGTCAGCGCTGATATGTTGCATTACAAATTCGAAAAAGTAAGCGAACATGTCAGCGCTGATATGTTGCATTACAAATTCGAAAAGGTAATCGAACGATTCAGCGCTTGCCCGCAATGACATGCACGTGTTAAAGTAATTAGGAGTTTCATTTGAATAATCAGCGCTAGGCATTACCATTCAGCGCTGAGGGAATCGATTCCCTCAGCGCTGAAAGTCCCGCTGGGTAAGTACACCCACACACTAACACATACATGCGCACGTATACCCTTTGTTCGACAGCATACAGCAAATTTTCTTAACACAAACAACTTAAGTGGCACTCTGCAAAAGTATTTGCTAAGAACTTCTAAATGCTGTGCGGCTCTTGACGTTGCAATATTTAAAATTTCGCTGTCATTTTTACCAAAAACAACCACAAGAACTACAACAACAACAAAAACAACAACAACAACGGCAGTAACAGCCCAGCGGCACCATTATGCCAGCGCTGAAAAAGTAAGCGAGGAGGTAATAGCTCTTCGTTTTTATTTTTCTTTGTTTTCGACATTTGTGTTCGACATAGGCAATTTCGGGGTTGAAATTATAAAAGAATGAAGAAGAAAAGCAAAGGAGTATTAAGAATTTCTTGTTTTGCCTACATTGTATACATTTAGTCTGCTTTTGATTTTAGTGAAGTGCGTGCAGTGAACAATTTTTAATTTTTAAAATCAAAATAAAATCTAAAAATATAAATAAAATATAATTTGTGAATTTATCATAAACTCACTGTAAGTATATACAAAATTAAGTAAATATATTTAAAATGATAATTGAAATTTTTGTTTTGTATTATGTAGATGCTACTGCGTCAAGAACGAGTCATTCTAAAGCAAGGGGTAAAATGTAGTCAGCTGTTTCAATTGGAAAATTTTATAATTCAAACTGAGGAGGATTTAATTCAATTTAATGAAGAAATCACTGCCGTTGAAGTAGTTGTAAGTTAAATTATATATGTTTCTTACTTTCAATTTCAACTTATTAATATATTCACATGTAACAATTTTATTAATTCATACATTTCTTTTCATCTATTACGTTATTTATAGACTGCATCAATGAGACGCGTTATTAAAAAACAACCAATTACGCGAAAGATTTCGTGGAATTTTGGAGAATGGTACCCAAGGCAAGAAGTCCTTAAGAGCGTTAGAGAATGTGACAGCAGCACTTTTTGGTATGGTATATTGTACATAATTAACTTTAGCGTATACAATAACATACTTTTGTATTTACAGATGCTTTAAGTACAGATGGTAAGCCGGAACAAGTGATCGAGTCGAGTCTGGAAATCTCTTCAAGGTTTTAGTAACAATTTCACAGAAAAATATTCATATATATATGTTATATTTTTTTATGTAAATATTAATATTTTAATTTTATAAAACATAAATATAAAATATAATTTATCCAAAAAAATTTATAGTATTTTATTTAAAAATCAATAACATAGGTAAAATTTAAAAGGTAAGCGAACATGTCAGCGCTGATATGTTGCATTACAAATTCGAAAAGGTAAGCTAACATGTCAGCGCTGATATGTTGCATTACAAATTCGAAAAAGTAAGCGAACATGTCAGCGCTGAAATGTTGCATTACAAATTTGAAAAGGTAATCGAACGATTCAGCGCTTGCCCGCAATGACATGCACGTGTTAAAAATTAGGAGTTTCCTTTGAATAATCAGCGCTAGGCATTACCATTCAGCGCTGAGGGAATCGATTCCCTCAGCGCTGAAAGTCCCGCTGGGTACTTACGTCGGCAACACATGTGCGCTACTGCATATACGAATTAGGCTCCTGAGAATGTAGAGGCAATTTATTTATATAATTATAATATACATATATATATTATATATACACATTTTTAGTATTATATACGCAGTCAAAGTTCCATAACTCGAAGTATAATTTTGCAAAGAAAAGGTTCGACTTATGGAGACTTAAAGTTAAAGAGTTTTTTGTAATTGTATGTAATTTGCTCTCTATCGTAAACCCTGTTGCATTATTTTTAATACGAGTTATAAAAGTTTGGGTTATGGAAGTTTGACTATATTTTTAAACGGGCTAATTGATCAATTGTTCAAAATAATACAAAACTGTTTTAAAAAATCTATTTCATATTAACCAATATTTCGATGATAATTTGTAGTCATATTCAGAGTACAATGACTATTCTTTTGAATATATAGTCGAATAACTTGAGTATTATTTTAAGTATTATATTTAATTATTTTAAGTATTTATATTTATTTATATTTATATTTTTTTGTTATTTATATAATTTAAATAAAAGTAAATATGCTTATTTAGACAATACAGATCTTTTGAAGCATTTTAAAAAAAATACTTAAGCATTTATGTATGTTAAATAATTACTTAACATTTGAGAATTAATATAAAATGTAGAATGTATATACACAGAAATCATATTTAAAATAATTTGAAGAAAAAATTGTGCATTATATGCACAGAAAGCCAACCATATATTTCAAGAAAAAAATAACAAAAACAAAGTCTTATAGATCACCTTCAAAAATATTGTCTCTTCTATCCCTACTGTATAAAAAGCAATTTTATAAGTTTGTAAAAACAAAGAGGAGTAGAAAAAGTGTTGTTGCTGTTTGTGTGTCCACTAATTATCAAAAAACCTCTACATCTTCTTTGACTTCCTTCATGTTCATGTACTAGGATTAGTGTTTTTTCTATAAGGTTTTGCCCAAAATATGTTTTGTTAATTTGATTCATTGATGGCTCCACCAACAAATTTTAGTGATGTATATATGTATATATATCTAATATATGTGAAATAATAAAAAAAATCTGATTACAGAGCTAACGTTCACAAAGCTCCTTGTTTTGTTCTAGTTTTTGTTATTGTAGTCACTATTCGATTCTATTCAAAATTGATATTTTTATTAAAATCACTTGTAAATTCATTAAGCTTTAATGCTTTTGTTTGGCTAGGATAGGAAGTAAGTGGAAATTCCAAAACTATTTTTTTCATATGAATGTTTTGTTTTTGTTTAAATGCCTGCTTGATGTATTGTAATTATGCCCTTAAATAAAAACAAATAACTGTTGGTGATATATGCAACTGTGAATGTATGTTTCATGTTTATGTATGTATGTATGTACGTATTATGCATTATTATTTCATTTGTTCAAATTTTGTTTAATGAAATGGAATAGTGAAAAGTGATCATTTTTACTCAATGCTTAAATATAAGTTATGCTTAAAACTGCATGTAAGAATGTACATATGTTATGTACGCCTAAATATATTTATACAAACATCTAAGGA